GTGACCCTAAGCACCAGCCCCCAGAGGCCCCACGGTGGGGGGAGCTGGAGAATAGGCCACCCTCGCACTCCGCCTTGCCCCCCATCACCTCCCGGGGCTCCCCAGGGGTCGGCACCGAGGGGGAGGCAGAGGGCACAGCCGTACGCGGGGTACTGGGCGTGGGCGCACAGCAGGGCTCAGAAAGTGCGTCGTTGACTTGGGCGCCGACATCCCAGTGGGGGAACTGAGGCTCGGAGCCATTGATTAGCGCCCAGGGTCACGCGGCGAGCGTGGGAAGGCTCCTGGGCCCTTGCGCTCAGCCCCGTGCGGCTCGGAGCTGAGGGGGTGGAGGCGGCAGTCAGCACAGACCCATCGTCAGATGCCGAGGTCCCCTAATGCCGGCCAGGATCCAAAAGGCTGTGGTGGGGGCAACGGACGCCCGCAGCTCCGCCGGCACCCGAGGCGGCTACTCAGGTGAGGTGCTGTGGGGAGGGCAGCCGTCAGCCGGCATCCCGCACGGCGACCCCGACCGCGGCCACCCACCTGCCGCAGGAAGCCTGAGTCTGGAGGCCTAGTGCGGGCCCCGGCACCGGCCAGCTGTGTCACCGGGGGCACGGCCCCTCGCCCTGTCCCCATCCCCGGCCCGCTGCTTCGTGCATGAGGCGAGGGAGCTCGCAGCCCTGAGGCAGGGGGACGCGCGAAGACGCCACAGCTCACGACACGTTACTGGCAGCACGAGCTCACGGGCAACGGTGGCCTCCTGGCCTCGCTGTCCCTGAGTCCTGAGGGACGCCCCTCCTGATCAGACCCTGCGCCCCAAGGCCAGAGACATCTCGCCCAGGGACCCCTCTGTTCGGCTCCGTGGACCACACACTTGCGTCGCGACGGCTGAACTCGGCCATCGGTGCACGAGCCGCCCAAGCCTGGCCCCACCGGGGTGCGGCTGTGTCCCCACAAAACGTCGGTTACGGGCACGGCACGGCTGATTTCCTACCGTTTTCACATGCGTGGAAGTACTATTGGCAGATTCCCTTCCCGCGACTTACACGTTTAAAAGCCATTCGTGGTTCACAGGCCACACCGAGCGCTCCGTCCGGGACTGGCCGGCCAGGACGGGCCCCGGCAGCGCTTCCTCCGGCTCTCGCTCGGGGTCAGGGCCGGGCGATGTGGGCCCCGCTCCCCCTGGGCCCCGTCGCGGCCGGCGCCTCCGTGCTGCTGGAACCGCAGCCCCTCTGGCCTCCCAGGTCCTCCCGGAGCAGACAGAGGCCACGTCTGTCTGCCCGCCCACAAGCTGCCCAGGCCCAGGACCACGCTCGCCCACGTCCAGGGCCCGGCACGGTGCCCAGCCCGTGGTCAGCGCCCAGAAAACGGGCACCAGGCCTAAGCCCGCGGCCGTCCTTCCGGGGAGGCACCTCTACGCCGACGGGGAAACTGAGGCTCAGGGAGATGCGTCGCTGTGTCCAGGCTCACACAGCTGGTTCGGGAGGCTCCCGGGCCACGTCCTGACCGCTGTCCTCCCACAGGGCCCCCAGCCCTGCTGCCTCCACCAACCGCCTGGTGATCTCGGCCGAATAAGCCGCTAGATCTGCAGTGCGTGGGGAGGCGCCTGGCACCCCGCACGCCCCACACACATGTGAGTCCTTGTCGGCCCTGAGGGACGCTGAGGAGGCCCAGGCGAAAGGTGACTGCCTGCTTCAGCCCCGGGGGATGCTGACTGGGCTGGAGGGGCCACTCAGCCCTTGTGCCAAGGAGAGGCCTGAGGACGTTTCTAGTGACAGCTGGACCTCTCAGGCCACGGCAAGGCCGCCCCGGCTTTGTGGGGGTTAAGTCCCACCAGAGTGTGTTTACTTTCTCCTGTGTCTGGAAGGCCCCTCCGGTCTCCATGGCAACGTGGTTTCCTGTTCTGCTGTTCCCTTGGACGAGATACCTGCTGAATGTAGAGGCGCCCGCGCCGAAGGCCAGGGTGGACGCCAGAGTAGAGGCCGCTCGACCCGCTGCCCCCACGTCCACTGAGCAGCCGGCTGGCCAGGGCCCACGGCACGGTGGCCTTCATTTCCCAGGACAGCATCCCCGGATCCAGCCCGAAACCCTTGCTACGCCCCGTTTTCTTCCTTCCTTCCTTTTCCGTGGTTTTGTTTCTTCCTGAGGCTGGGGGAGTGGATGCTCTCGTGCACGCACGCACACACACACGAGCGCACACGCACACACACACACACGAGCGCACACGCACACACGAGCGCGCACGCACACACACACACACGCACACGCACATGCACACACACACACGAGCGCACACACACACATGCATGCACACGCACGCACACGTGCACATAGGCACACGCACGCACACGTGCGCACACACACAAGCGTCCACACACGCACACGCACGCACACACACACACACGCACACGCACATGCACACAGGCACACGCACACACACGTACACACACGCAAGCGTCCACACACGCACACACACGCACACACATGCATGTGCACACACACACACACACACACACACACGACTGGCTAAGAAACTTCTGAATCCTTCTACTCACAGGCCATACCCCGGGCCTGGGAGCTCCTAGCAATTACTCGTTCGTTCATCCATCATTTTGCTTACTGGGTGAAGGTGTGCGCTCGGGCTTGCGTTCCCGGCCAGTGTGGGAGCCAGAGGGCAGGGGGCGCTGGGTTGGGTCTTCCCTCTGCCCTGCACAGGGCAGCACTTCAGTGACCAAACACTGTACCGTGTGATCCATGTGACCAATGCCTGGGCAGCCTCTGCAGGGGCCGCGGAATCGGGCGGGGACGCTCAGGTCTGCTGCCTGCCTGCGTTCCGATCCGGCTCCTCAACGCCCGGCCCTGGGTGCGTGCTGGCCTGAGCCTCGGTCTTCCCGCCTGTAAAATGGGGTAGGTGGCGGTGCCCACCGGGGCGTGCGTCGCGTGGCGGCTAGGAGTGAGCAGACGCAGGCACCGAGCACCACACTCCTAGACCTGTTGCATTTGCACCACCATGTCGAGGGGCTCGGGGAGTCCCCCAGAGGGAGACTCCCGGTGCCCCCCAGGGGACTGGGGGACGGGCAGCAAGAGAGACCCTACCTGAGGAGCTGGCGTCCAGATAATCAGCTCTCCAATGCCTGCATCTCGCCCTACGTCCTGCGCCAGGAGTCGAGTCTGCCGGCTTGACCGCCTACATCCCCACCCCCCAGCATGGCCCATGGAGTAAGGGATCAGCCAGGGGGGAATGACTGACGGCTGGAGGGTAAGTCCCGCCTCTTCATCATGGCGTTCGCGATCTTTCACAGTGTGACCGAGACCCGCTGCTATGGTTCCTTTTACGCGTCAACCTGGCTGGGCCACGCGGTGCCTGGATGTTTGGTTAAACGTCATCCTGGCTGTCTGTGGGTTTGAGCCGATTGGCTGAGCGAGCACATCGCCCTCCCCGGTGTGGGTGGGCCTCGTCCGATCAGTTGAGTAAGAAAGAACTCTCTCTACCTGGCGGTCTCCAAGCTGAGATGCTGGACGCAGGCTCAGGCCGAAACGTCCATCGTCGGCTCTCCCGGGCCCAGGTGCTTGGACTCAGACCGGACCAACACCCTAGGGTCCTCTGAGCGGGGACTTCTCAGCCTCCATAACTGTGTGAGCCAATTTCTTGGAATAAATTTCTTTATATGCACATCCCGTTAATTCCATCGCTCTGGAGAACCCTGATGAACACGCTCAGTCTAATTTCCGGACATTCTTTCTGGCCCTGTGGCCCCAGGCGGTAGTGGTGACAAACATGAAGAAACAATGGCTTTGCGACCTTCTCGGGCATCCTCCACCCTCTTCCCCTCTGGTCACTCCTTTCTGTTGTCCGTGTCTATGAATTCATCCGTTTTCCTTCTTCATTTGTGGCTTTCCGATTTATATCCCACGTGAGGAAAATCATACGGTTCTTGTCCCTTTTCGTCCGACTTCCTCCACTTAGCATGGTGCTCTCAGGGGCCATCCGTGCTGTCCCCAATGGCAATATTTTATCTTTTTCATGGCTGAGGAATATTCTGTTGTGATACATACCACCCCTTCTTCATCCGCTCATCCTCTAAGGGCACCTGGGCTGTTTCTACGTCTGGGCCACCGTGAATACAGCTGCAGTGAGCATCGGGGTGCAGATACCTTTATGAATAAGTGTTTTCAAATTTGGGGGGGTCGATCCCTAGAAGACGGGTTTGCGGGTCAATGGGAGCTGTATTTTTAATCTTTTGAGGACCCTCCCTACGGGCGTCCGTAGCGGCTGCACCCACTTACAGTCCCAGCACACGGGGCTCCCTTCCCCCCACGTCCTCGCCAGCCCTCGTCGTCTCTTGCCGCGTTGATGACAGCCCTTCTAACAGGTGCAAGGTGGACTCTCCTTGTGTTTTGACGTGTGCTTTCCTTGTAGCTGGCAACGTTGAGCTTTTTGTCATATGTCTGTCGGACACTTCTTAAAAAATTCTAAGTCACCTGGTCGGCAAATTATTGCACACGTAACGCGTAGATCCACTCTCCTTGAGAAATGATGAACGTGCAACAGGAAAGGTTAAAGTTCCTTTAGCCGCCAGCCCTGGACTCCCCACCCCGCCCTGTTCACCGCGTTTGGGGCGCATCCCTCCAAATGTCTTTCCAAATGCTTTCTCTTTCTACAGGACCCGCGTACTGCTGCTATCTGGGTGCTTTTAAAACGTTTTACGTAAATGGTATCATATCGTGCCTGTAATTCTGAAATTCTTACTCTTTAAGAGGTAGTCAACCGTGACATATAGCACCTCGCTGGGGACTGTGCTTAGCCAAAACCCAGGGAGGAAAGTTAACATTTATCACGACCGCGGTAGGTGCCAGACGCTGCACTGGACCATTCATCATGAACCAGAGTGGCCTCAGATTTGAGCCAAAGCTGTATTTACCCTAAGGTAAGCTGGTAAATATATTCCCAACTACAAGATATTTTAAGTACTACTTAAACAATGATAAAGTACTATGAAAAACAATCGTAATAAACGTACGCATCCTGTGGCGAGAATCTAGCCAGTTATCGATTGGCCGTCTGTCCCCAGCGGACTTTCACCTCCGTTGCTGCAAGAAGGGAGCCAGCCTGTTCTGTCACCTGTGGGCCACCAGCGAGCATGGAAGTGAGCGGTGACCTCAGGACACCCCCCCATCCCCGGCTTTATTCTTCCAAATGTTACCTGCCACAGAGCGTATGTCGGGGCGGGGGGGACACAGCATTGAAAGTCAAGGGGAGCGGAATTGTCCCCAGGACTCCAAATGGGCCAGAGACTGGCACGTCCCCACCCACGTCCCATCTCTTACGACACCCCGAGAATGTGGCTGTATCTCAGAGGAGAACGGCCGCCCATAGCTATTTGGACTGTGACCTGGGGCTCTCAGCTTAGCCAAGGCCACTTACCTGGAAAACCACAATACACGGACCCGGACAGCGGAGCTGAGAGCTGCTCCGGGACCACTCTGCCAACGGCCGGCCTGAAGCTGCCGGGGCCCGGGGCTTTAATTTGATCTAGAAAAAAAAAACAAACAAAACTCCACCAAGTACGGTGACATGCCCTGCGCCCGAGCGTGCCGGGCCCTGTGTTCACTTCACCATCATCGCACCATCATCACCTCTTCCCCCTTTTTTAACGGGAGAAACTCTTGGAAGCGGGGCCAGAGGTGAGCAAGCCGGCGGTGGGGAGCGGGGGGTTCGACCTCCGGCTTGTCTGGTGCTGCAGCCCGTGCCCGTGACTGTCCCGGATTCGACGCCCACCTGCAGGACGTGTTTCTGCCGCAGGTCACAGAAGCCCAGGGCAGCTGGCTTGGTTCGAGGAAGGAAATTCATCGCGCCACCGAGCGGGACGGTCCAAGCCCGCTTTACGCAGGTCACAGCGTGGCCCTTCTTTTCCGTCTCTGTGTATCTATCTCGGCCCCTCGCCGTTGGCTGTGTTTGCAGTTCAGGGCCCCTCCCCGCGACGGCATGGGAGCCGTCTGAAGTTCCCAAAGCCACGGCCATCGACGTGAGCACGAGAAAGTGGGTCTGCTTCTTCGGCACGTCAAGCAAAAGCACTGGACCGAGTTTTTCTAACGATCAACTTAGCTTTGACGACTGGTTTACCTGGTGAGGTTTGGTGGCCAGGCTCAGTATTGATCCTTGCCCCCAAACACCCTCTCGCGATGCCACCGTGCCTGAGAGGCCACCACGGGAGTCACTCCCTGAGAACAGCCCTGTTAACATGCCCCGCTGTCCCCAAGGAGGGCACCCCACTTACAGGTAGCTGGCCTCATCGAATTGGCTGCCTGTCGACTGGTACTGTTGGGGGACACAGCACAGCAGGTCTTCGAGGGCCTCCAGCTCTGCTGACTTTTGCTCTGGCGACTGGCTTGCTATCGTGACACCAAAATTGCTAAAGACTAGTAATCACTGAGTAAAGGATAAGTAAGGGTGGAGCGACTCATCTCGGAATATCTTATTTCCCAGCAAAGACGCGACATGATTCGAAAGCATTCTTAGCCTCCCCTACCGGTTCCTTGTGCTAAAGTATAAGATCTAATTTCCAAGCTGATGATTGACTTGACCCTAAACCAATCACGAGTAGCCTAATGAGGCAAAGTGGGCTGATGGGCTCAGCATCCGTCACAGGCCTGGGGTCCATCGGTTTTGCCAAAGCACAGGGGCGAGGGGCTGAGGGTGGGCGTGGGGGAGTGCCTCCCTCAAGGCAGAGTCACTCTGCCCTCGGCTCCAGAAGGGGGACTGCTGACGGGTGGGGTCCCTTTGCTCTCGTCACGTGTGTGACAGTTGAGAAGTGTCCTAGGGAGGAATTCTTGCTACAATAATTCGTGCTTCTTCTGCTCCGAGCTGATGGGTCGGAGGGGAAGGGTAGTTCTGAGACCAGGCCTCGGGCGACCCTCTCACCCCGCACCCCTTCCCGTCCCAGACCTGAGCCCTGGAGGCAGGGAGACGCTGTTTTATTAATCTCGTGATCTAAGTGACAAGGAGGGGAGTGTATGTGACTCTGAGCATGAGCACAGACCGCGGCCGACAGGGCCAGTGCCTGTCTCATGTCCGTTCGTCTCACTCTTCCGCATCTTGCTCCGGGGAGGACTGTGTCCTGCCACCTTCTCCTCTGTCCTTGAGGCTAGCGGTGAGCGCGGGGACGCATCCTTGCCCAGGAGATGTACGCAGAGCTCTCCTGGAGGCGTGTGCGGTAGTCCTGGCTTTTGTGTTCGGAAGGCACGCTCAGACCGGCTGTCATCCTTCACCTGCCTCACTTCTTTCTGCCTCGGGTGGCTGGACTCGAGGGCTGGAGCTGAAGCAGCCACGGAGAGGCCGAGAGAACCAATGAGACGCAGACCCTGATAACACGCGGCAGAAGCGACTCAAGTCCGGGCACCTTTTATTTCTTGCCTTTTAATCCTTTCTAATGTGCTAGTTTCTCCCAGATGAATAAGGAAAACGAACCTTTATCGTTTGGGTCCTCGTTACGTAGAGCGTGGCCCGTGCACATCAGCATCCCCGGGGAGCTTGTTAGGTGCAAAGTCTCAGGTCTGCCTCGGGTTCCAAATCGGAATCTCCGAGACCTTCCGCCGACTCGCGGTGCACAGAAGTGGAGAAGCCGCGGCCGAGCGCGACCGGCCCCTGCTCGGAGGCGGCCTGGCCCCCGCGAGGCTGGATTCGGTGCCATGTCGTGAGTGGGAGGTTGTCACGGGCAGCCGGAGCGAGAGAGGAGGGCCGTGCAGGCGGCCAAGCGGGCTGCTGTGGCAGATGTTCTCCAGACATGTATTAAACACTCAGAAGGTGTTTACGGTATTCCAGGCACGGTTACAAGCGTCACGCCAGCAGTAGCTCGTCTGATCTCCATGGTGTCCTTATGGGTCACTTCGTGGAAGAGTAAACTGAGGCACAGACGGGGCGAATGGCGGAGTTGGTAAGTGGCAGAGCCAGGAGCTAAAGCCTTGCGTTCTGCTTCCAGAGGGTACGCTCCTCCCTTGGGTGTCCGCATGGTCTCTGGGGAGAATTTTAAGAAGGGCGAAAGAGCCCACAGAGAGGCACGGGCTAAACACTCGTGACCGCCTGGGATCTTCAAGACTTCGCTTTATCAGCATGTTGGTCGCGTGCCCGGTGTGTGCCTCGGACTGGGGGCTCGGGGGACTGAGATGGTGCTGTCGCCTCTGCAGACTCGTTGTGGGGGGGGCGGGGACAGGCCCAGAGCTGTGAGGTGGCCCCGTGACGGAGGGAGACCACAGGAGACAGACAGCTAACCCGGGCGACTTGCAGGGGACAGGGAGGAGCTGGACGAGACCCGGAGGATGACCAGGGACATTCGGGCGCAGCCGTTTTGTGTCGAATGTGCTTCTGAGGGAAAAACAAGTACAAAGACCCAGAGGTGGGCAAGCAGGCTCCACTCTGGAGGGCACCCCTGCCCTTTCTTCAACAGCTGACCCTGGATAGTGAGTGTTATTGATCCCCGTTTTACAGACGTGGAAGCTGAGGCTTCAAGAGGCCAAGCGATGTGCCAAATGCTGGTGTGACACAGCAGACACGCAGCAGAGACGGGCTCAACACCGAGATCTGACACCACATGCTATGTTCCTTCTGCCACGCTTTGTCCTGTCCCTTCTGGACTCGGGGATCCTGTGCCTCCTAGTGCCCAAGAACTTTGACCAGCGGTAACCCCAGGATCTGGTCATGGCTGGGATCCAAATGTGTCCCTGGGGGCTGCTTCGCATTGTCCCCTTTTTCCTGCTGCACTCCTGAACCCTAATGGGCCGTCTCAGTGACTGCGTTCAAGGTGAAAGGTGCTCGATAGGTTGCGCTAAGTAACTAAGTTCTTGTGATCTGAGGTTCGAGGTGACGCATGCTTGATTGGCCATGCTCAGTAGCTAGGTCCAAGGTGACGGATCACCTGTCTGGCCGGCCTCATGCAGTGAGAAACTGTCTCTGGGGACGTCCCACGTACGCACACGCCCATGCCCGCTCCCAGCCCCGCACCTTCAGACATTCTCCACTTGCCAACACGCCAAACGCACCGCTGGTCTCTGCCCCCCGCGTTCCCCGGCGGCTGACGGGGGGCTGACCCATTATCAAACGGGTTTCTCCGTGCTCTTCGGACTTGCTTGTCACTGACCCAACGCCGTGAGGCTGCCGAACGGCGTCTGGTCATCACGGGCTGAATTAATGACGGCATGGGGTCCAGAACTGGGGAGGCGGGCTCGAATGACCCTTCCCAGGGAGAACATTCAGTTCTGGGAGGAAGGCAGCCAAAAGGAGGCTGTACAGAGTGGGAGGCTCGGAGCCAAAGGTGTGAGTCACACTGGAAGAATTGGGGTGTGTGGCCTGAGGCAGCGATGACTCAGGACGACATGGCCCCCGCGGGGGGCTGCCGGGGGCGGGGTCAGAATTCATTCCCCCGCGGGCACCAGGCCTCTGCCCTGGAGTCCCCCGTGGCTCGCCTCTCCCCTCTCCCCCAAACTCTCCTAGGTTCGAACCCCCTCCTCAGACCCACGGGCAGCTTTCCAGAGAAAATGGAGCCTGGAAAGAAAGAAGTTCTCTGCACCATTGACTAATTAGCATCTGAACTCACCCTCGCCTCCTTCCTGCTGGTCCCACGGAAGGGAGCCTGGGCCCCTTCCAACGCGACTCCCCGCCCGGATGCCCGGACGCTGGAGTCCACCCATCAGCCCCGTTTGTCAGCGTCCCCCACTCCGCCCTCCTCCCCTGTCCTCAGCAAGCCCGCCAGCCTCCCGCTGACCCCGCCGCGACCTTCCCTGAGTTCTCCCACCAGGGGCCTTTACCTTTCCTTGCCTCTGCCTAGCTCCACCCGTGAACTTGACCCCATCTGGGGCCCTACCATAAAATCTGGTGCTCTTTAAGATGCTGTGGGAGGTTACGTTGCACCGTAGGAAAGAAACATGTCTTTGGTGACAGCTTTATTGAGATTCCATGCGCGTGCCCACAATTCACACATTTAAAGCGCACAATTCGATGATTTCTGGTATATTCACTGAGTCGTGCCACCAACATAACCCATTTTCATCTCCCCCCAAAAGAAGCCTAATTTCCTTTAACCATCTCCTCAATCCCCCAATCCCCTACCCCAGCCCTGGGCAACCGCTAATCTACTTTGCGACTCTCTAGATTTGCCCGTTCTGGACACTTCATAGAAATGGAACCATGTAACACGTGATCGTTTCCGACCGGCTTTTTTCACTTAGCGTAATGTTTTCAAGACTCGCTCACGTCGTAGCAGATATCGGTGCTTCTCTCTCTTCTCTGACCGAGGAATAGCCCATCGCGTGGACACATTGCCTTGGTTTATGACCCATCGGTTGCTAGACGTTGAGTTGTCTCTGCTTTTTAACCAGGACGACTAGAACTGCTGAAAATATTTACGTACAGCATTTCATGTGGACGTCTGTTTTCATTTCTGTCGGATGCGTCCTCATCCTCAGAGGTAGAGTTAAACATGCGGTCGCTCTACGTTTAACTTTTTAATGGCTGCACCATTTCACACGCTCACCCGCAGTGGGTGAGGGTTCCCGCATCTTGACATCCTTGTCAGCTCTCGTTAGCTGTATTTTCTTTTATTATTCTTATATCCATCCCAGAGGATGTGAAGTGATACCTCACTGGGGTTTTCATTTGCATTTCCGATGACTGATGACGTCGACCATATTTTCATGTGCTTTCTCGGCCATTTGTGTATCTTCCTGGGAGAAACGTCCACACAAATCGTTTGCAAATCTCTTATTTGTGTTATGTGTCTTTTCATCATTGAGTTATAACAGTGTCTTGTATTTATTTTTTTGGGTACAAGTCTCTCATCGAATATATAATTTGCGCACATTCTCTCGTTATGTGGATTGTCTTTTCATGTCATTGGTAGTGTCCTTTGAAGCACCGAAGTTTCTAACTGTGACGAAGTTCAGTTTATCTGTTTCTCCTTTCATTGTTGTTGCTTGTGCCTTTGGTCACAGCTAAGAAGCCATTGCCAAATCCAGGATTATAAAGATTTACCGCTATGTTATTTTGCTAAGAGTTTTACAGTCTTAGCTCTTACGTGTAAGGTTTTGATCGATCTCGAGTTAATGTTCGTGTATGGTGTGAGGTAGGGATCAAACTTCATTCTTTTGCATTTGAGTATCTCGCTGTCCCAGCACCATCTGTTGAAAAGACTGCTCTTTCCCCCATTGAATTACTTATACGTCCTTGTTGAAAATCAATTGGTCATAAACGTGAGGGTGTGTTTCTGGGTTCTCGGTTCTATTCTTTCGATTTATACATTTATCCGGATGTCAGGATCGAACTGTTTACTTACTATGGTTTGTAGTAACTTTTGAAATCGGGAACTGTGAGTCCTTCCACTTTGTTCTTGTCCTAGATGATTTTGGCCATTCTGGGTCCCTTTCATTTTCCTTATAAGTGTTTGCATTGGCTCGTCAATTTCTAGCAAGAATGCACCTGGAATTCCAATACAGATCGTGTTTCATCTCTCGATCAATTCGAGGAGCATTGCCATCTTATCGATATTAAGTCTCTCGGACGGCCTTCCGTTTATTTAAATCTTCTCGAATGCAGTTGTTATTGTTGCAATTCCAGACAGTTGAATACTGAGAATTCGGTTTGGCTCTACCTAATACATAAAGAAAAGAGTCTTTAAAACTACAGCACAACGCCAGCCCAATATTGATACACAGACCCGAATCCAGTAGCATCTTAAAACCATGTCGCAGCACCGCATCCTGGCGGCGGTGAGGGTGGCGGTTTCCTGTCCCCACAGGCGTGCGGGGACGTACTGCAGCCGCACGCGTGTTGGCCGCTGTCATAGCGCGTCCAGCTCTGCACTTATCCGGATGCGCGTTCTACTTCCATAAATGCATAACTCCGTTTCTTTAAACAACTGAACAACAAACACTCAGCCCTGCAGCCGGACGGTGCCGACGACCGACCCTCACAGAGCGTTTATGATGCACCAGGCAGTGTTCGCGCTCTGAATATATACATATTCGTTAAAATCCTGCAACAGCCCTTTGAGCTAGGTGCTGTTGCTGACTTTGGTTTACGAAGGTGGTGGCAAAGACACAGAGAGGCTGAGAAGCATCCTAAGGTCATAGGTAGAGTCAGTGGGACAGCTGGGACGAGAGCCGGCCTGCCTGGCCTGTGTGGGACCGCCTCTCCAGATAGTGAGGGACCCCTTCACGCTGGGCAAAGGAGGACAGCCACGTGGCCCTTCTTAGAGACCAAAACAGTACTTAGTAAAATCGACAGCCATTATTGGGGTGATAAACACATATTTAAGCTAAAAAAAAAAAAATGCATCGTGTTTGAGGTTGAACACTACAAGCATTTTCCGTTAAAGTCGGTGACGGGATAAGTGAGATTAAAGTGCCACTATTATCTAGATGTACCAAGGTTAAAATAGAAGTTTAAGATTTGCAAAGTGGAGACCATACGATGATCATTCGCAGGTAATATCATTGCATATCTAGACGTTCCAAGGGTACGACTGGAAAAATAAAACGAGCATCCAAAATCAACAGCATCTCTATGTTTCATGGAAAAAAAAAAAGCTAGAAAACAAAATGGAAAAAAATACTGTACTTCAAAGAGCATCAACACGCACTGTAACAGTAAAAACAAAGCACAATGAAAACAACAAATAAAAATGCATCCCCAGTTCACCGAGAAGAAGATTTACTGGTGCGAGGATGTGTATTTTCTCTAAATGAACCTTTACATTTAATTTTCTATCAATAAAAAATATGTTATGAGGTTTTGGGGGGGTTTTTTTTGTTTGTTTTGTTTTCTGTTTTGTTTTTTTGGAAGTAGACTCACTAAGCCTACAGTTCACATGGAAAGAATAAACAAGTGAGACTAGCCAGGAAAATTCTGCAAATGAAAAGTAATAGAGAGGCATTAACCCTAGTGTGTGTCGAAGTGCCTTTTAAAGCTGCAGTGATGAAGGAAGTTTGGGACCGGTACGCGAGGAGAAAGGCTGAGTAGCAGAACAGGTCTGAATCCAGAACAGACCCAAACGCATTCGAGAAGCGAGCACAGGCATCTCCTCATTCTACTGCTTCATCGTACTTCACAGATGCTGCGTTTTTTACAAACAGAAGGTTCGCGACAACCCTGCGTGGAGCATGTTTATTGGCACCATTTTCCCGACAGAGTTTGCTCACTTTGTGTGTCTGTGTCTTATTTTGGTAATTCTTGCATAATTTCAAATTTTTTCCATTGTTATCACATTCGTTGTAGTGACTTGTGATGAGCGATTTTTGACGTCACTATTTTGATTGTTTGGGGCCTCGACGAAGCACACTCACATAAGACGGTGAACTCAATCGATAAATGTCGTGTATGACCCGACTGCTCCGCAGACCAGCCGTCCCCACCTGTCCCCATCGGGCCTCTCTGTTCCTTGAGACATGACAGTGTTGAGATCAAGCCAGTGAAAATAACCCAGCAATGTCCTCTACGTATTCACGTCTCTCACTTTAAATTGAGAGTTAGAAATGACCGAGCTCGGCGAGGAGGGCGAGTCGAGAGCCGGGATAGGCCGGTCAGCCAAGCTGTGGACACAGAAGAGCTCCCGGAGGGACAGGAAGCGTTGCTGCAGTGAATGCATCTGTCGTGGTCTGGGTAGCAGGTGAAGCCAGCCACCACATTCCTTTACGCCGAAGGCTCACCCAGAGCGAGGCCCTAACTCTCTTCAGTCTATGAAGGCTGAGAGGAGAGGAGTCTGCAGAAGGAAAGTTCCAGGCTGGCAGAGGTCGGTCCGTGAGGTTTAAGGGCAGAAGCCGCCTCCTTAACACAAAAGTATAAGGGGAGGCAGCAAGCTGTCCAGAAGATCCAGCTCAGGTGATGAATGAAGGCGGCTGCACTAAAGAATAAGGTGCAACAGCCTTCCTTATATCGAAAGAAGATGCCATCTGCGCTTTCACAGCTTCAGAGGAGAAGCCCGCGCCTGGCTTCAAAGCTTCGAAGGACAGGCCGACTCTTTTACGGGCAAGTGCAGCCGTGACTGTGAGTGGAAGCCAGTGCCCGCTCCCCGTTCTGGACACCCCGGGCCCTCGGGAATGACGGCCTGCGCCCCGTAAGTGGAACTCTGAGGCCTGGGTGGCAGCACGTTGGTTTACACGCAGTTTGAGCCCACTGTCGAGACCTACTGCTCAGAAAAAAAAGATGCCTCTCAAAATATAAGTGCTCACTGACCGGGCGCCTGGTCCCCTGGGAGCCCTGCTGGGCGTGGTTCTCATTCCTGCGAACACCCCACGACTCAGCTGCTCTGAGGTCTCCCGAGTCCCGCTCCTGACAGTCCCTTCGGTCACTCGATGGAGGGGGTGTCTGTCTGCTTCTCTAGTGTAAAGTTACTCTTTCTCTTTTGTATTTGCAAGTGTTTCGTGGCGACTTTTTTTCATTATGTAAATATCCTGTTCCTCGTCAAACTTTTTCTGGGCGACAGTCGTATCGACGCCCACGCTTACAGTGTATAATTGGATGAGTTTTGACATAAGTATACAGCTGTGAAACCATCACCACAAACAAGACAATAAACATATCCGTCATCCCCGAAAGTTTCCTCCTGCCTTTTTGCAACCTCTCCCTCGAGCCTGTGTCTTCTCCATCCCAAAGCGCCGATAGACTTTCCGTTACCAGAGTGTACGACATGTTTTCGAGATTTTTATATGACTTGAATCATACAGTTTGCATTTCGTTTCCGGTGTAAGTTCTTCCTATCAGCATGATGATTTCCCAAGTCATCCGTGTTCTGCGTATTGGTAGTTCATTCCTTGCGAGTGCTGAAGAAGATTCCGTTTCGTGGATGTATACCGATTTGTTTATCCATTCTTCTGTAGGTGGACGGTTGGGTTGTTTCCACTTTGGGGGCATTACAAATGAAGCTTCTGTGAACATTCGTGCACAAGGCTCTCTGTGGACACATATTTTCCTACCTCTCAGGTAAGCAGCTAGGGCTGTCATAGCTGGATCACATGGGAGGTGTGTGTGTGCTCACCTTTTTAAGAAACTACCAAAATGGCTTTCCAAAATAATTGAATAATTCTACGGGACCGCCAATGGCTGTGAGAGCTACGGCTACTTCACAACCTCAGCAACGACATTCTTACAGGGACGTAGTGGTATCTTAGTGAGGTTTTAATTTGCACGTCCCTAAGTACTAGGGCAGTTAAGCGTGTGTCTATCTTATTTACTAATGTGTCTGTTCACATCCTTGGCCCATTTAAAAAATAGGTTGTTTTTTTTTTTTAATCGAATTTTATGGCTCCTTTATATATCCCGGATGCAAATTCTTTATCGGATATGTGATTTGCAAATATTTTCCCCTAGTCTATGTCTTATCTTCTCATTCCCTGAAGAATGTCTTTTGAAAAGCCGAAGTTCTTAATTTTGATGTTGTACAAATCGTGCTGTCGGTGACTATGAAATCGCTGCTTTATCCACAGTCACATTTCTTCTATATGTTCTTCTAGAGAGAGGGGCGTTGAAACCTTTGGTTACAATTGTGGATGTGTCTATTTATCCTTGCTCTTATGTCTTTGTTTTTTTTTCTTTTTTTGCTGTATTTCGAAGCTCTTCCAGTAGTTACATAAATCTAGGATTGTTATGGCCGCTGGATGAATTGACCCTTCGCACCTCGCCCCCAGTAATATTCTTTGCTCCCCGATCTATTTTGGGTGATAGTAAGAGAACCACTTTAGCCTTCTTTTTATCAGTGTTAGCTTATCTTTTGCATCCTTTTGCTTTTAAGCTCTGTTTGTGTCTTAGTTTCTTATAGGCAGCATACAGTTAAGATCCATCTTTTTTATACTGTCTATCACTGCCTTTGAATCGGGATGTGTGGACTACTTACATTCGGTGTGACTTAGTAGATTTAAAATTTACGTTTGGCTCTTTTCTATTTGTCTCATTTCCCTTTTCCCCCCGCTACATGCTTTCAGTTGAGTAATTTTTGTGACTCTATTTTACTCTTTTGTAGGGTGTCAGAAACATTCGATGGTTAGAAGACAGTCTTTTAATAAATGGTGATGGAAAACCTGAATATCCACATGCAAAAAACAAAGCTGGACCCTCAGCTTACAGTGTTTTACTCCCTTGTCGGCTTTTTGGATCTCTCTACTGTGTTATTTTAGAGGTTGCTGCAGGGTTTTCATATACATTCCTAGTATAAAAAACTTATGGTTATCATACTGTCTACCTTTAAGCGGTAGATTACGTCCTGGTAAACAGATGTTATGATACATCCATTTCTCCCCTCCCAGATTTTGTGCTATTATCGTCTTATATTTTATTTCTGCATATGTCGTAAACCCCACAATACATTTTTTCTCACTTTTATTTAAACAGTCGATAATCTTTTAGTGACATTTGATTAATAAAAAAATGTTTTTCATATTTATGTGTGATTTACCTATTTAAGTACCACTCTGCCGTATAATCTAGATTTTTAACTCATCTCCTTTTCCTTCTGTCTGAAGGATTCGTTTTACCATTTTTTTATAGTAGAGTTGCTGGTGACAATTCCTTTGGATTTTCTAAGCCTAAAAAGTCTTTATTTCAACTTCAGTTTTGAAAGTACTTTTTTGTAGGTAACAGAATTTTGTATTGTTCCTAACTAGAAGACAACTGTCACCTGACTCTTTATTCTGTAGTCTATGTTATGTTTTCTTCTCTCTCTGCTTTTAAGATTTTTCTCTTAATCATTGTCTTTAAATGACTTCATTCTGATGCGCCTTGTTGTCGTTTTCTCCGTGGTGTGTGTGTGTGCTGGACCGGGACAGCCCCCCAAATGGAGAATCCCCCCTCCCGCTGGACATTCACATAGGTCAAAGGTTAACAATTATCTGAGGACTGAAATCCTTACTTTTTCCATTGTGATGGATGCTGAAATTTCCAGCAATGCAATTGCCACGAAAGTCGAGGGAGAATTGGTTCCTAGCTGTTGGGAACTTGACTGAGCGTTCTTCTCCACTCCAGAAAAACTGTGTCTCCAATGCCACTACGTGTCTTGGTGTGTGAGGAATCAATGTGACTCTGCCGTGTCCACTGTATTTGTAGTGGTGACTCTACACGGTGTGGGGCCAGCAGTGCCTGCCTGCCTTACTGAGGCTTCCCACATACACCGTCCCTGAGCATTTACTTAGCAAAGGACATTTTATCTCTCCTTAACTATTCCATAAAAGCCATTGTCGAAAAGTCATTTAACATCATACACAAATTCTCAAACTGTAGACTTAATCTAGGGAATATGTGTGCGTGGAACGAGGCATTTGATTACTTAAAGGAAACCCATTACTCTCTAGAGGACCTTGCTTCTGATTTTGTCCCTAATGGATTATGCAAGAAAAATAAAAATGGTGGCTCCAGTGGATTTAGAGCTAAATATGGCACGAAGTCTGTTTTCATCCACACGAAGACTCACCGATTTAAATCTCCAGCCCGAGACCTTTCCTCCGCTGATCCTGTGTCCCGGGTGACTGTCCCTCATCCTTCAGCTGTCACGTCATGCTTTACATTTTCAAAGAGACCTTCTTTGGCGCATCCGTGTTACATGTTCCTATGTTCCTTAGAATAACATTCCGTCCCTCTGTGTGCTTGTTATAGTTTGTAAGCATACGCTTTCTAGTTTGCCTTCAAAAACCCTGCCTGCCTCATTAGCCTCAGTCCACGAGAATAATTCCTCACACGTGCCCAAGACCTAGGCCCTAAGACAGTACCTAGCATACAGTAAGCGCTCAATTAATATCTGTTCTGTGGGGGAATTGTCATTTTGGCATTCAGGGGTATACAGGTGAGATATGGACTAAAGATACGAAGGTGAGTCCTCTGCGTTGAAATGGTATTTAAATGCAAGAGAACGGATGGGATCACCCATCCCAAGGAGAAAGTGGACACAGGAGGGAAAAGTCTGGAACAGAGCCTAGGCGATCTCCAACATTTTATGTGCTATAAAGCAAGGGATGATGGCAAAGGTTGGAAGCAAGGAATGGTTAGAGAGGTCAAGAGGAATTTGGGAGAACACACTGCCAAGAAGCCGAGAGGAGAGTCGCTCTGAAGAAAGTGAGCAGTCAGTTGTGGCAAATGCAGTTAAGAAGTAAATCAAAGTCAAGACGGAAGAGTTACCCCGAGTCCGTGACCTTGATAAGAGTAATTCTGGGGCAGGAGCAGGGGAGCAGAGTTAGGAGAGAGCTGGCAAGGGAGGTGAGCACCTGGGAGGAGCTCGCATAGAACACTTTTGTTTTCTTTGGGTGGTTGTTTTTAGGGAAAGTCGCCAGACTATGTTTGTTTGATGACGGTTCAGTAGAGGGTCTATTTAGCACAGAAAGAGGATCACGAGAGAAGCTCCCTTAGCAGGTCCCTGCCGAGGAGTCACTGCTGGTCTTACACTGTGTCGTCATGCATCTGTGACCTACATCCATGTAGGAGGTTTGCATAAGAGACAATTAAAGAGTGATTAGCATGGCTTCGTAATGCGGCCCTGGAGGGGTCATCTGGGATGTGTCCAACTGCTCTGGAAGACTCTTCAAGGAGTCATCTCTTCTGTTTCCCTGGGGCTGGGGACTAGTTCCAAGGTTTCTCAACCTTGGGTGCTACTGGCGTTTTGGCTCGGGTACTCCTGTTGTAGGGGGCCGTCCTGTGCAGTGTAGGATGTTTATCAGCATCCCTGGCCTCTGCCCCACTGGGTACCGGTAGCATCCAATAGTGACAACCAGGAACCAGACATTGCTACATGTTCCCTGGGAAAAGGCAGGGGTGCATCACCCCAGTTGAGAACCACTTAGTTATTCAGACCTGATAGTCTTTTTTTTTTTTTTTAAGTCAGCTCATCTTAACAGCTGTGTAAGTGTTGATAAATATTACTGTTTTCATTGCCTTATGCTGTTGTGGAAAATTATTCACAAACGTAGTGTGAAAGCATATTGTGGTTCATATTTTTTAACTCCAAAAAATATTGTAATATAATTTTTAACATTTTAAGTACAAGAACCATACATAAAAGAACACCAAACCAAGTCTATGTGTCGATGACTTGCCGGTAGGGATGATGGCAGGAAAAGTCATTCGCATTTGGTACCCCCGACATTTTACATTTTGTAAACCTGACTGCCTCTTACATGCTCATTGTATAGAAACAAAACGAGACAGAAAGGCAGATACGTTGAGAAGAAAATCGGCACTTTGGTGCACGTGCCTTAGGACTTCCTAGGCCTTCGTTCATTCCCGCACTCCATTTATGCATCCCACATCACCACCGGAGAGGCTGGGGACTGGGCAGCAAGGGTGGTGTCTGTCCTTTCCTTTTGGTGGGAGAGATTTGGGCACGTTTTAAAGCCCGTGGAAGGACCCAGTTTAGGAAGAGGGAGATGGGAATCACTTTCGCACAGGCGTCGTGGGCAGGTGGGAAGGACGCGCCGGAACCTGTGTGTCCCCACGCGTGTGCACTGGTGCACCCGCCCGGCGGGTGGCCGAGCCCTGGCACCCACGGGCGGGCACCTTCCGCTTCACGTGCACGTTCGCATCTGTGTCTGCTTATGTGGCATCTCCGCCTCCCGGTGTTCCCGGCCGTGCGGGCCCCTTGGGCAGCCGGCTGTCCCCTTACTCCGGCGTGACCATCTCCCCGAGGCCGTCACCCCGTTTTCCACCCGGGTCTCTCCGGCCCCCCGCGTCTCCTCGGACGCTTGGGCCGTTCGCGATTCCGCGCTGCTGGCCCTCGGAGGGGCCGGAGGGCGCGCGACCCGCCCAAGGTCAAGCTCCGTCCCCGGCGGCGGCTCTCGGCGGGGTGCGGCGGGGCCCGAAAC